GTCAGCCTGCTAACCCTACCTGGCCCCAAGGCCCCAGCCAGCCCAGCGGACCTTGGGGTCCAGGTCCAGGCCCTTCACCCGGACCTGGACCCACTCCTCCTGTTGCACCCCAGCAGAATCTGGTGAGCCAAACAGAGACGGAAACAGAGGACAGGCAGAAGGACAGATGTAGTAAACAGCTGTTTTCTTCTTGACAGACGGTTCCCTTCAATATGCCTCTGCCTCAAGGAGTGTACGACAAGCTGCTGATCACCATCGCTGGAACTATCAAACCCAATGCTGACAAGTCAGTACGAATGCTGTGATGTCACATAGTGACGAGAGAGCAGAGGTCAGACTAACGAAGCGAGCGGGCGGGTGTAGAGCAGAGTAAACAGGAAGCACAGAGCGATAAACTGACAGTGGTTAAATCCAGTCATTACTGAGTAACAGTAATGAAAGCAGGGCAGTAGAAGAAGACAGTGAGCTGTTACCCGTAGTAACGCACTCATGTCACCTCATTGGACAAACTTTAGGTATAATCACACAAAACCTTCATGTTTGCTGTGAACACATGATTAAAAAATAACGAGAGATGTGAGGACAGCTGGTGTCTCGTTCACCTTAACAAGGATGAGCGAGGTCAGGCATCAGCTACACTTTCATTTGTTTGCATTCGTTTGCTTGTTTCAGTGAAGCAAAATCAGACTTGCTTCGCTTAACGCCGCATTAACATTGGCCAAAAAGAGAAACGATTGATCCAGATAATCAGATCCTGATGGAGGAGAAGCTCTAATAGAGTCAGTAATTCACTGAGGTCTCTGTGATTCATCAGGATCACGGTGGACCTGGCCACAGCTCGTGACATCGCCTTCCACTTCAACCCTCGCTTCAACGAGGGCGGCAAGAAGGTGATTATCAGAAACAGCTGCATCGGTGAAAAGTGGGGCAAAGAGGAGAGGGAGCTGCAGCACTTCCCGTTTGTGCCGGGGCAGAATTTTGAGGTCAGACAGCTTAAAAAAAAATCCTCAGTTTGATTTCTGTGAGGCGGAGATGACACCAACAACAGTCTCTCATGTTTCTCTTCCAGATCAAGATCCTGTGCACCAACACGGAGTTAAAGGTAGCTGTCAACAACTCTCACATGCTGGACTTCAAGCATCGTATCACCAACCTGAGAGACATCAAGAGACTCAACATCTACTACGACCTCACGCTGTCCAGGGTCAACTTGGAGATGTTGCCCTGAGACAGGCTGCTGACCCAGCAGAGATCAGTCAGGAGGAAATTATCAGTGAATGTTTGAAGGTGATCATCAGCAGATGCTTTGATTCTTCCACATGTTTCTGTTCAGGTGTCTAATGAATAAAGACTTCATATTCTGGGTTTTGTGCTTATTTCTGTCCTGCCTGGATGCCTGAAAATGATGAGCCTAGTTAAACCACGACAAACTCTTCAAACAGGAGTTTTAAAACAGCTGGGGGCCTTTGGAGAGGAGTGAGTGAGCGTTACCAGAGACCGTCTTATGGCCTCTGACAGCAGAGATGTCAGTGCAGCATTTAATGCAGCTTCAAACAGAGACTCCAACACAGCGTTGGTGTTACAGGAAGCACTGGAGTGGCTGAATCTTCCAGTTTATAGGGACGAGGATCAGGGCCACTGGAAAAAAAAAAGTGTGGACGTATTTTTTTCAAAATCAGAATTCTGAGAAAAAAGTCTGACACTTTTTTGTTTCCTCCTCTTGCTTAAGTTTGTTCACGTAAACAAGGAATGTTTTTTTACACATAACAGCTATTCACGAAGCTCCACGGGGTTATGTTCTGGGAACAACACTTTTAGAAAACACTGCATATTTTTCATTGCTGTGCGGATGATACCCAGTTTTATTTATCACCTGACAGAAACGTTCAGCCTGCAGTTCCTCTAATGTCCAGCAGGGGCTCCAGCGGCAGTGTTGGGAAGGTTACTTTTAAAATGTATTCCATTACAGAATACAGAATACATGCCCCAAAATGTATTCTGTAACGTATTCCGTTACATTACTCAATGACAGTAACGTATTCTGAATACTTTGGATTACTTAATATATTATCATGCTTTTTACAACAACGTGAATGTACTATTGCTGTGTGATTTATTACTATTACTGAAGGTCCGCGACTCCGAACTGTAGTAAAGGGACCTCTGACTAATACGGCGGGGTCCCTGTCGGCTCGTAGCCGAAAAATAGCTCTACTTTGTTGTGTGGGTCAAGTTTGCTTGCGAGAGACAGAGAGAGGCGTTGAAAGACTGCTCCAACGGAACTTATTGTTTTCGGAGGAAAACACGAACACGGTGTACAGTCGAGTCTTAATAGCTTACTTACAACTGGGCTCGTCAGGCACTCTTCTTGGCTGCAGTGGTTATTATTATATTTACATGCTTCCAGCTCCCGTTTTTGCTCGATGACAACTCGTACCTTTCCACTCCCCTTTTTCTCCCTCCTCGCGCTCACAGACACATAACGTGTATGGCAGTCCATTCTCCCTGCAGCACGGACTACACTGCCCATGATGCTACATTCTTTAGAGCTATGCTTGTAGCATTCTGCCTGTTAGCTTAGCACAACAACAACTAAATGCGCTCTCTCACCCAGGAAACACACAGTCGCAGAGAGAGAGTGAGCGTCACCCTGTAACCATGGCAACCGTAACGCTGCCGCCTGGAACAACAGCATGTAGCTGTCAAACAAAACCCAAACAGTCCTGACCCACGACAAAATGTAACAGGAAAGTACCGCAGTGTAATCCATTTATTTCAACAAAGTAACTGTATTCTGAATACCACCTGTTTAAACGGTAACTGTAAGGGAATACAGTTACTCATATTTTGTATTTTAAATACGTAACGGCGGTACATGTATTCCGTTACTCCCCAACACTGTCCAGCGGTGAGTCGTCCCTTCAGATTCCCATGTTAAAATAAACATGTTTACAGCCTAATGTAAGAAACTGGTCCAGAGACGTTTCCCCTTCATAACAACTACAGAGAGGAAGAATGGCATCATGGCTTCAGAGCCTGGCAGCTTAGTGACAAGCAAAGGTTTTGGATTCACATTTAAATAAATTCATTTTTCTTCCATCCATTTACTTCAGCTTATCCAATTCGGGGGGCCTGGAGCCCATCCTCGACCCCATAAGGTGAGAAGCGGGGTTCGCCGTGGGTATTCATATTCACACCTACCAGCAGCAGAGATGGGCCGCGTTACTGCAATCTGTAATCTGATTACTTTTTTCGAGTAACGAGTAAAGTAAGGGATTACTATTGCAAAAACGGTAATTAGATTACCGTTACTTTCCCGTAGGAACGCTGCGTTACTGCGTTACTAAAACTGTGATTTTTTTTGCGAGAATGTCTCACGACAGTGACGTAAGCGAGTGCGCCGTTAGTGACAACAGCTGTGTGCAGATCAACAGTGGATCATATATCGATTGTGGGAGAGAGTATGAGCATGCAGCGTTTAAAGCGTGGAAGTACTGACCTTACTTTGAGTTTGATTCCATAAAAAGTGACAAAAACGTTAGCGTCCATCGTGCGTGGGAAGAAAACTTCTTTTTACAGCGAAAAACCCCCTAAACTTCCAAGCAGGCACCGAGTGCGCTACGACGTAATGGGAAACTCACAGAAAAACTCGCGGATTCTTCAACTGACCGCGGCACACCTGCATCAGGGCAAACCTCCGCCTACAGCAGTCCTGCTTTACAGATGAAAATAGAGCAACAGGACCACTGAGTCTTTGACTTTATTTATGTTCTGCTGTGTTTTACTTGCATCTATTTGAAAGAGTGAGTGTAAACATAAAAAATATTTTATTTTATGTGCTGGAATGTGCAGAAAATAGGTTTAAATGTTAAACTAATTTATTCAACTCAGAGAATGTTGCATATAATTAAATTTTTGCTTGATGCATAAAGTTAAAAGATTAAAACTGATAAAACAAGTTAAAAAAAGAGACTTTTCCATTTGATTACATTTTGTATGATGGATTATGTAGAAAAAGTAGAACTGGGCTGAAAGATCTATCGCTTTATCACCTCTTCAGGTTGTAAATCGTGTTTTTAAAAAGTAACTAAGTAATTAATTACTTTAGAAAATAAGTAATCAGTAAAGTAACTGGATTACTTTTTTGGGGAAGTAATCAGTAATTAGTTACTGATTACTTCTTTCAAGTAACTTGACAAACACTGACCAGCAGTGTGGAACTGACTGTTGGAGGTAGCCGGAGAGAAGCCGTGCAGACACGTGGGAAAACATGCAAACAAAGAAAGAAATCTATGACGGACTGTCAGAGCTACATTCAGGAACAAATGTGTCCCTAGTTCTCCTACATACACTCGAAAAAATATAGAATTACTTTAAAGTTAGCGTGTCAGCACAGCCAGTAACTCTGAGGAAGAGTTTACCTGAGTCATTCACAGAGGTGGCAAAAGTACAGACTCTCTTTACTTCTAATACATAAAGATTTTTTAAAATGTTTTTATGGATGATGCACTGATTGGAAACCGCTTTTAATAATAATAAGGGATTGCATTTATATAGCGCTTTCGGGGCCCTCAAAGCAGGCGGTAGGTGAAGTGTCTTGTCCAAGGACACAACCAGCGAGACTGTCCGAGTCATGGCTCGAACCGGCAACCTTCAGGTTACAAGACGAACTGCAAACTCTTTGAGCCACGATTGCTCTCGTACCTGCAGCAATGACAATAAAGACATTCTGATTAAAAATACTCCAGTAAAAGTTGAAGTACTGAAGCAACTTTTTCACTGAAGTAAAAGTGAAAAAGTACTGCTCTGAAGTATACTCAGCATAGGAAAGTAACAAGTAGCTCCTTGAAGGACAAGTCTACAGTTACAAAGGAAACTGAACCTCGTGCTGTATGAAACAAAATTAGTACATGAAAATGCAAATATTAATCCAATGTAATTCTGTATGAACTCAGTTTGAATCTGTTATGTAGGAACCCGCACTGACAGAGAATTAAAAAATAACGAGTTTCTGTTGTCAAGATTACACAGTGTGACTTCCCTCCACACCTAAACAGACTGTGCACAGTGGACTGTGGAGTCAGTGGGTGGGGAACCCGAAGATCAGTGTAATGATTCCGTGTGGGGAAAACAATCAAACTAACGATCATTTCTACTGAGAGCTGCAGAGGATTGTGTTGGTGTGCAGGCTGTGATCAGCTGACCTGCTGTCTCTGTGGATGTACACCTTTAGTCTTTTGGGTTATTTCGGGTGAACTCCGTGGCTTTTCAGTCTCAACACGTAAAGTGTAAAGTCCGTTCTTGTGAGGTGCTTAGCACAGACCTGGAACCCTGCTCGGATTCAAACCCGGGACCTTCTTGCCTTCGTGCCGTTGAGCCATCATCGTCCATACTGATGAAGCGTGTCGGCCCTCTGGGTGTCGCCAAAACCGAACCTACATGTTGTTGATGCTCAGGCTAGGACTGCTACGTCATTACGCACAGCCGCAGGTTGACGTGCGCGTGCTCGATCGGGAGCTTTACTATGTAGTTAGGTGAGGAGCGCGCACCTCCGTGCTGCGTTTAAGCGTTAAACAGTTTAAAAGTGGGTCCACGCACCGGCGAAGCGAAGACACCGACAGCAGCTGGGCTACGGACAGTCAGGACACCCCGGACCGGAGGACTGCACCGTCTGCGGTCGCTGCCAGCGGAGCTCCCCAGTGGACGGACTCAGCTTCCTCCTTCAGGTCAGTGCGACCCGCGGCCTCTCCTCTCCGAGAGTCCGCGGCTCGGGGCCGCTGCTGGGTGTCGGTGTGGGGGTGGAAACGATCCGATCTCCACCCGCAGCGTCTCCTCAAACTTCCTCCGTGTCCTCTGGAGTATCGACGTGCCGCTCCGTCCTCCTCTGCTCCCCGCTAGTTAGCTGCAGACGCTAGCTAGTTAGCCAGGTGTTTAATGAGAGCGAGCGGCTGCAGCTAGTAGCATGCTAACTAGCGCTGCGGCAGCGAAGTTTGTTTTCGTGTAGCTCGGTTGTTTGTTTGTAAACAGCGCACTTGTGCAGGACACTTTGTTTACCGAGTGTGGCTGCGGGTGTGGCGGAGCTCCAAGCCGCTCCCAGCTGGGTTACCGATTAATGTTCGCCGTTAGCAGGGCGGAGGCCCAGGAGGGTGGGAAGTTTACAGGCTGTTAGCTGCTAGCTGTTAGCCTCGGAGTGCAGACTCAGCAGCTGGCGGTCGGTTTGGCCCGAGTCTGCCCCGGTCTGATCTGAGACTGAGCTCCCACAGGGTCTAATGTCCTCATGATGATTATAAAATCACTTTAGAAACACACATTCCTCTAAACTCTGTCACACCCTGAGATGAGTCAGAGCCCACAAACACTCTGTGTGTGTGTGTGTGTGGACGTTATCAGCTGGTGTCTCTGTCTTCAGCCCGTGGAGATCACAGCATGTGAGTGAACACAGTTTTTGTGATACTCGCTCCTCTTCAGGATCCTCGGGGTCTTCACAGGACTTTGAGCCTCTGCTGGAGAAGCCATCAGGACCTTGTTCCTCAGCAGCTCCCTCCTCTGCTTGTGTTAAACCTGACCACTCATATAACCTGTTAATGTGGTGCTTTCTTGGCTGTAAATGGACTTTAGTCTCAGGGGTTTCCTGGTTAAGTAAATAGAAGAATCAGTGGCCTGAAACACAGACCTCTGTCATTTGTACAGAATGTTTTAGGCTCCTGATCAGTGACTCAGCACTAAAGATGCTAATGATTAATCACTGATCTAAAGAAGCTTTTAATTTGAAGGCTCAGGACACTGCAGAGTTACAGATCTTCAGTGTGAAACAATTTATTTGGATTCTAATCAACTTTTTGTGGAGATGTCATACAGATTATTATCATGAATGTTACAAATGTAAATGAGGTCACGTGCTTGAGTGCTCCTGCTCACCCTGAAGGGAACAGGCGTCGGACAGGCTGGGACACAGTTAGAACGCCACTCGGTGGACGGCAGCATGTCTTAGAGATGAAACCATAGGCAGATGTTGGTGTTTGTTTATCTTTACTTTCGCCCGTGTCAGATCAGACCTGACGGCCTCAGGCTGCTGGATCAGTGTTCCATCAGGGGAAGGTGGAATATAAAAACTTCAGTATCATCGTAAAATCCCCAAACAATCAATAATCTCCTGTTAACACAGTAAATAATGAGGCCTGCAGTGCTCCAGCATAAGCTCGCTGTCTGTTCTTTAATCAGAGTCAGCATCTGGCTCATTAGCATTAACAAAGCTTTGAAATGATCCCTGTTTAGACTGACTCGGCTTGTGTATTGATCCTGATCAGGATGTCTCTGACTGGTTCACGTCAAACAAAAGAGAAGGAAGCTGCAGATCCAGCAGCAGGAGGTGGTTTCAGGAGAGGGAGGAGGGAAATGCCTCCACTCCATCCCCCGCTCGGGCTCCTCGGTGTGTGTGTGGTTAATCAATCAGCTGATCGGTAATCATTTCTTATCATAATCTTTGACGCTTGAAGGAACAGAGTCAAGAAAGAAAAAGAACAAAGTGTACTTTATTAATCCCCGTGGGGAAATTCCTCTCTGCATTTAGCAGTGGGCAGCCATTGGGCGCCCAGGGAGCAGTGTGTAGAGATGGTACCTCGCTCAGGGATGCCTCAGGGTAGCTCTTCAGGGGAATCAAACCCCCCACCTTCCGATCATGGGCCCCCCACTCTACCTACTGAGCTATCCCTGCCGTCCTTTTTTTACGTGTTGAGCAGAAAGGGGTGAAAACGTGAGGCTACAGGACACCTGCAGTCCTGTCACACCTGTGCAGGTGAGCAGGTCCATGTCATTCAGGTTTCTCCTGAACTCTTCCTGTTGTGGGAGCAGGAAGCACCTGCAGATCGTCTCAGCTGGGAGACGTGGCGGGAATTAATCAGCTATGAAGCTGTGAGGAGAAACGGCTGGTCACTAAACTGTCAGCTTTTATTTTGAAATATTTACAGTTTCCTGCTTCAACAGCACAAACGCACACCAGTGCGCACTCTTGTGTTTGTGCGCCTGTGTGTGTACTGAACACACTGTGACCGGCTCCTTATATAGACAGAGAGGACAGAGCTGGCAGCTGATTGGCTGTCAGGTATCATGAGCTGGTGTCTCACTATAGACGCAAGCTGCAGGTTTGTCTGATGAACGGTGAGCTTTTCCTGCAGGCTGTGAGCTCGCTGCTGCTCCGCGTGTCGTAAACTGACTTCTGGCCCTGCTGGTTCACTCCCAGTCCTCCCAGTCTGAGTCTGCATGTCTGATCCAGCTGTTGTAGAACATGTTTTCATTTCATTTTGAAGATATTGATGATTATGAAGCTGCTTACGGTGTGAGGATTATACACCTGGGCCGTGACCTCAGGTGTGTGTGTGTGTGTGTGAGTCACTGATGTGTTGGTGTGTGCTTGTTTTTTCCTGCAGGGTGTGTGTGTGTGTGCGGTCACATCCTGACTCCTTTGGAGACCTTGGCGCAGGAGAAACAGCGCCTGGTTTAGCTTCCTGTGTGGGAGGAGTCAAGGCGAACGTCTGAGAAATGTGAAGCTGAAGGATCAGCGGAGCTGTCACTCAAACCAGTACCACGCCCCCCAGCACCACCACCGGCCAATCAGCACACAGAGTGGAGGTAAACACAGTTAGCATTGTGTAAAAGTGATGCAGAGAAACACATGAATACAACTCCCAAGATGCTGTGCGACAGATCAGAGCTCCGGGTTCTGATTCTGGATCAGTTTGTTCACATCACCACCTCGGCAGCCATCTTGAAACACCACTGGGCGGCTGTTTTGAATCTAAAGAGCTGACCAGGACATGAATACCTCAGAAACGCTGCTGATGACACAGCTGTGCCTCATCCCTCGCTGCATGCGTGTGACCTCTGACCTCCGTGTGCTCCCAGTGTGTTTTATACCTGGCTCTGATTGGCCGCCCTGCTGCGGTTTGTGTAATCCTAATTGTTCTCAGGCGCAGTGCCGACGGCCTGGAAACCAAACTCCTCTCGCTCAGAAACCTTAGCTCGTCTCGCTGTGGATCCGCATCTGATTGGATGAGAGCCGACTTCACTGCTACTGTGTTCAAACGGGCTTTTTGTTTCTGAGCACGGTTGTGTAACTGTGATGTGTTCGTACAAACACACCTTTTTCACGGGTTACATCATCACTGAGGTCATCCTGCAAACCCAGAGCTCTGAGTGCGTCCTGCCTCTGTAAGCTTCACAAGGTTGTATAAGCTCTGTGCACGCGGGACACTTCACACGGAGCTGTCTGCACGGCCCGGCTGGTATTTGCAGGGTTTATCCAAGCCAACTTTATTCATAATGGGCTTTAAAACAGCTTTTATCTGCTGGGAAAGCTGTTCTTACGGCGATGCTGCTGCTGCAGTATTAAAATCCTGCTTTAAATTCATGAATGCGGGCGTTGTCTCGTCACCTGTGCGGGTTCAGTTCAGAGATGAGTCCAGCTGAGGGGTTCAGACATGTCCTACTGGGAGGACGCGTTGGACACATAATGTCTCTCAGCTGGCCTGGGAACACCTCGGTGTTCCCTCAGCTGAGCCCGAGGAAGACTATGTTCTCCCAGAAAGAACCTGACACGGCCGTCGGGGAGCAGGAAGGTCCTCCTTCACTCACAGCTGTAAACCTGATGGCGCTCCTTTAATCTGTCTAGTCTCACCAAGGTTATTATCGTTAACGAAAACTAGAAGTGAAAAAACATTTTCGTTAACGGAAATAAAAACAAAAAAAGGAAAACTAACTAAAATGAACTGAATTTATAGCAAAAATGTGTTTAGTTTTCATTGATGTGTGCGTGTCCTACAATAGTCAAGGGTGAAAATGAAGTTTAGTTTCCAGTGTTTCTGTGTTGCTGCTCTGTCCACGTGCAGAATCGTGTCAGGAAAAGTCAGGAGAAAGCGCCAGAGTCCAATTTGGGATTACTTTGAGTATGACTGTGTTTTGGATAAAGCAAGTGTCTTGTAGTGGAAAGAGACAAATTATGAGGGACATTTCTAAAGGGAAAAATCCCACAAACCTTAAAGTGCACTTGAAAAGCTCACACAAGAAGACTAACCTAGCTTACCTTGAGAAGGTAAGGGAGCACACTCAACCCTCATCCCCAGAAAACAGAAGCTAACCCCAGGCAAGGCAGCGTGATGCATCCCGAGACAACAGGACGGGGATATCTACATAACTATGTGAGTCAATTGCCTTCAAAAAGTTTATCAATTCACTTGAACCAAAATTACGAACACCCGGTGCTGCAAGAGTTAATAGTCTCATTGGGGCCAAGATATACATTTTATAGTTGCCTGGTATCAATGGTTGTTCATCTGCCTTTATGTATTTATTTATTTATTTATTTAAAGAACCCATAGGTGGGAATGTGAGTTGTCTGTCTCTGCGTGTTAGCCCTGCGACAGACAGGCGACCTGTGCAGGGTATGGTAGCTGGAATAGCAACATACCCAAGGATAAGCAGAAGAGAATGACTGATATGATGAAACTGGGATTTTGTTACACTTAATTATTGCAAACAACTAAAACTATAACTGAAACTAATCAAAACTAAACTGAAATTAAGGATTTTCAAAAAATAAAAACTAAACTAGCAAACAATTGGTTAAAACTGATATAAAATTGAAAATCTGAAGTCAAAACTAAATCAAAATAAAAACTAATTAAAATTGCAAAACTATTAAAACCCTGTGTCTCACCCTGAACGGCTGAGACGCAGGCGTGACAGGGAACTCTGCCGGTCATGTGACTGTTGGCCAGGTGACATGGCTTCACTGAAAACAAGTAATGATCAGCGCCGGGTGAGATTGACTTTATTTATCCCGAATGTTCAATAAACACAAAAAATGAAATGAACAGAATAAAATCACTGAAAAAGAAAAAAATCCTCATTAAATTAACTTTAAAATTTAATTAATTAATTTTTAATTTCTTTTTGATATTTGGGCTCATTGGGACCCGATAAATGTAAAAACAAAGAATTACAAGGTTTGTTTGTTTTTTGTTTTTTTTTAACCTGATTTTTGTTTCTAAGAAAAATCAGAGGCACATATGAGGATATTCGTTTAAAATGTTGATAGAACAGTGGCAGTATAATGTCCTTGTAAGTGGATATCAGGCCCTTGTAGAGCAAAATTGAGTATTTTAGTCTAAATAACCCAAAATGTGATGTCCACATATGTGGACGCAGGTCCTAGGAGGTTAAAAAAAAAAAGTCCCTGTGAAGTAAAATGACTCATTAAACACATTCAGACAAAATTAGAGTCAAAGTTTCTCACTCTGTCTGTGTCTGAGCGCACAGATCGTTTTGTCCTCTCCAATCAATAACCGATCATTAACATAATCAGTGTCCTGAACACGTCACACACATGCGAGTCCATGCGACTGATAGCCGAGAGCATGAAGCTGTCGTGGTTTCCTCCACATCTGTGCGGGCGTGTCTGCGGGCTCGGGCCCAGCCGAGCGCTGAGGTAATGCTGCTTCACCGAGCCTTCGTCATGATGGCATCCACCACCCAAAACGTTAAAAACATGCGTTTCTGCACATGCTCGGTACATGTGGTCAAGAAACATGAGGAGGGCAAGTGAAGAACGAAGAACAAACAAATCCAAATTATCCGGTTTAAACCTGCAGTTCCTGTGACGCCCACAGTGAGGCAGTGTGCACATCAAAGGGAGCTGAACATGTGTGTTTTTGGTCTCTGCAACTGACTCCCCCCCCTTTCATATCAGCTGTCCCCCACCACCAAACATAAGCAACAAGCTTTTCTTATTCGCTTGAAGGAGGAGAGTTACAGCAGCCCCCGGTGGACGCGAGAGGAGCTGCAGTCTGTCAGGGCGCTGACCATAAACACACATGAGTTTGTTCATTACTGAGGCAAAAAGGTGCCGCCTTCACCTGAGTAACAGGAAGTCCATGGGCCTCCTCCACATCCCAGTTTTACGAGCAGAGGTAAAGTGTTCCAGTAAAACCAGTGTGGCCCTCCCTCGGACTAATAAGGCGTTCTTCATGAGGAGGAGAGGAAGCCTGACCTCAGATCAGCTCTGACGTGATCTCGTGTTGAAATGTTTACACCACGATCGGGTGATGAAATATCTCAGAATCACCTCGGAGAGAGTCTGACCTGCTCTGATCTGAGACGCACCCACAGGAAACACCTCTATCTGACTTTTATTTTGAAAATCTGAATGCCAAACATGTCGATAATTTCCTGGGGTCTTTTATTTTGATAAGTCAATATCTCGGTTGGGTTTTAATCATGTGACCTCTCTGTCTCCCCACAGGACCTTCATGCACCTGAAGTCTTACCCGAAGCTCGTGCGTTCAGAGCTGCGTCTCGATGCGTCCGGCGTTCAGACGGGGACGCAGCGGAGCAGTCTGTTTGTGAGCCAGCAGGGGGGGCTGCTCAGGACGTACACTGGTAACCATGGCAGCAGCAGCCGCTTCCCATTCAGTGTAATCTCCGCCAACACGCTGCGATGCCCAGCAAACGCCATCACAAGCAGCATGACGTCGCTCTGCCTCAAGACGCAGTCCGGCACCACCCTGCAGCACATCCCACTGCTGCCGCCAGGCTGCGAGAACAACACGCCCAAACTGTTCCAGACTGCCGCTGAGGATGCCGACACGCCGCTGGATGTCTGGACCGTCATCAAACCCGGACACGTCCGTGAGAAGATCGCCATCTTTGTTTCAGAGAGGGGACGAGAAGATAGTGCCGGAGGTGGCGAGTGTGCTGCGAACAGCAGGGACAGGGCGCCGGCACCATGCACCAACTACAGCGTTGGGACGGGGCTGTCACGAGCCGTGAAGGCAAAGGGCAGCTGGGATGAAAACTGTACCGCCAAACGGCGCCGCCGGTCCGGAAACACCCAAAACCTTCAGCAAGACCAGAGTGCTTGTGACCTCAGACCTGCTCCGCAGCGCCCGAACTCCGGTCAGCAGTGTGGTGGCGAACTGGGGACAGCAGAGGAGGCGGATCTGAAAGTGTCAGTGGTGGACATGGTGGCGTTTCTGGAGCAGAGAGTAAGTGAGCAGCAGCTGGACTCCAAACCTTTGCTCGCTCTCCAGAGGAGCTGCACCACTATCATGCTCTCCAGAGCCCCGCCCACCAAGCTCAGGGACGGCTCGGAGCACAGGGGGGAGGAGCCAGAAAGCATCAGAGTGTCAGATATGGTGGCGAGACTAGAGTCTAAATGTCTTAGGCGGCGGGCAGAGGGCAACCTGTCACGTAGCAACAGCCTGCGGAGGACAGCGGGGCGTGTGCTGCTCGCCGCTGCCACAGGTCACAGCTCCACCCCCAGCCAGCCTGCGTCACCATCATCACCTGCAGCTCAGTGTCTGAGCAGGGAACCAGTCGGCTGTCTTCCGGCCTCAGCTTTGACCACGCCCCTTTCAGGTGAGCTGGTCAAGTCGGAGGAGGCTGCAGGTGTGGAGAGGGAGCGCACTGTAACAGAGACTCACCTTAAGGCCCCGCCCTCTGAGGAGGAGGAGCCTGTGCCTGGCTTATTGTTTTTGTCTCCAACACCTGAGAAATGCGAAGACTCCACCCCCTCCCCCACACACTCGGCACACCACCCCCCATGCCACAGAGCCACCTATGTGCTTCAACCTTTTAAGCCCTCCCCCTGCAGTACTGACAGCCAATCAGAGAAGACTAGGAGGAGCGGAACTGAGGATGCTGGCGTAGTTAGCAACCCTGCCTCGGCGCCTCTGGTGTGGCGTGCGTCGGCGTCGCAGGACTTCCTTGAGAAGCGTCAGCGGCTGCAGCAGCTGCTGGAGCCGCAGCCGTACCTGACAGCGCTGCCGCACCACCTGCTCGTCAAGATCTTCCTACTGCTGCCGACGCAGAGCCTTGCCGCGCTCAAGTGCGCCTGCAGTTACTTCAAGTTCATCATCGAGAACTACGGCGTGCGGCCCGCTGACTCGCTGTGGGTGTCAGACCCCCGTTACCGTGATGATACCTGCAAGCAGTGCAAGAAGCGTTACGGGCGCGGCGATGTGTCGCTGTGCCGCTGGCACCACAAGCCGTACTGCCAGGCGTTGCCGTATGGCCCAGGGTACTGGATGTGCTGCCATGGCGCCCGCAGGGACACGCCTGGCTGCAATGTGGGTCTCCATGACAACCGCTGGGTCCCGGCGTTCCACAGCATTAATGTGCCCATCTACCGCAGGAGTAACCATGACGACTGATTGTGAGTGTGTGCCGGGCAGAGGCTGTTTGTGCTCTTTGTGTGTGATGTCAGCAGCGTCCAATCAGAACGCTTTCACGCAGGATACCACGCCCACAAATCAAAAAGCCATGGAACTTTAAGCTGGATGATGTTTAGGTTAAAGATCGGTGCTCCGGCAGACGTAGTGACTGATTCTGATTATTGATTGCTGATCGATTAGATGTTTGAGCATCTCCCTGCGTCTGACGGAGCGCTGGCCTTGCGGCGCCGCCTGCTGCTCACCCCTCCCCCCCACAGCCTGATCTGCAGATCGATATCACTCACTGATCAGTGATCAGGTTTGGAGGAGGAGTCTCAGCCAGGACTCTTCCTCACTGGCTGGTTCCTGATCATCGTATTGATGAGGCTGAGTTATCGATAATATTTATTCAGATTCAGCCTTTATTCATTTATTTTTATAAACAGGAGCCGTACCTCCAAAATAATGCAAAATAATAACAAAAACAATTTGCATCTCAGAGGGATTGATTGGTCAAAAGGCCTGAAATCCTGAACTTTATTGATCACGATCACCAACAGAAAAAAAATGTCCTAACCGTGGGTTTCCTTCAACTTTTAATTTGAAAACAGAAGCTAAGTAGACTGCTTCATGTTTTTGCAGAGATGTATGACCCGATAATTAGATTTTTTTTTTTTTTTTTTTTTTTTTTTTTTACACAGGAAGGGGTGGGTCTAACTGGTTAGCAACAGCTGAACTTTCAAAATAAGGGCACACAGAGTTATCTGATAGCAGCATCAAAGCGATGAAAAGTAAAAATATGACTCAGCAGCTGTCCGTCTGAGCAGCGTCTGGTGGGAGCAGAGCAGGTGGTCATCACGCGTCTCGCCCCCTTGTCCCGTTTCCTGTTGTCAGAAACTTATAAATATATATTTCTTAAAACAGATGAAACTTTATTAGTCGGACGTCTGTAACCATGACGGAAATCCACCCGACACCTCCACGTCTGCACCAATCAGGATGGCTAAACTTTTCTTCCACCTCCCTCCCTCAGGGGCGGAGCCTAAAACAGCTGCATGGTCAATGTTCCCTCTGAGGTCATGCGCCAGTTTTTAAAGAAACTTTGTTTTATCACAGTAGAAGAAGTTTATTGATCATCATTATGTCTGATTGATTGGCCCAGCTGATCAATCAGCTGTTCAGGAATAATTGTGGGCGGGTCCTTGTTTTGACTTGTTTAAAATAAAATTTGGCTTCCTGAACTTTCTGCAGGTTTATCTGACCCTCTTACTGATCGATCAGCTGATTGGCTTATTGATTAAGCTTCATCTTTTTGATTCTGAGATGCAGAGGTTCCTGATGATCACCTGACTGATGGAGGCTGAGAGATGGGTGAGTGGGTGGAGCTTCAGGGGTCGACGACCTCTCTGTGCACCTTGTTTGTTTACATTTGAGTGTTTGTTTCCTGTGCGATCAGCTGATTGATAATCATTGATGAATCGAGGCCTTGAGCGTGGAGTCGGTGATTGAGAGTTTTAGAGTGTGTCGTTTGTCTGCTCCGTTTTTCTGTGCTTTAATAAAGAGCTTTTTTCATTGTTTCCTGTCTGTGTCGGTCCTTCCTTCGTTAACTTCTCGACCTCCGCAGGCAGCGGCCGTTCAGGGAAAGAAACTGTCAGTAATTCAAATGTTAAATTCACAAAGAGAAAGTTTGACTTTTATTTTTATTGATCCGCAGCTCGTTCAAAGGCACTAACAGGAAGTGGAATCAATCCACGCCAGGTGAACGTTATTGATGAAGTTTTCAGTGACAGAACAATAAATTTTATTCTCAAAGTGAATAAAGAATCGTGGGAAACCATGGCTGGGCTGCTGATGACGACTCCAACGATGAAGGAGAGGAGCTTTAGTCAAATGTATTTTCTGACCAACTTTGACCTGCAAACACCACAGAAACAAAACTTCATTGGCCATGTGGCACTGTCGCTGTGATGTCACGTGGACCTTGTGACCTCACACAGAGCCTCCAGCAGTTGAAAGTAGTTGTACTTGATGTCGTAGTCCATGTCGTACCAGAAGTTCACTGCAGACAAAACGGGAGCGGATGTGTTTAGTGTGAAGGCCTCACTGAGATTATCTGATCGATTATCTGCTCGTGTCTGTCCATTATTGATCAAAGTAAAGTTAAACACAGCGTGGTACGTTCAGGTACCTGCGATGCAGCCGTGTGACTGCTGTACGTGGTGGAACCACAGCGACGGCAAGTACAGCATCTCTCCGGCCTTCACGCTGCAGTGGAGCGGCCGCGCCCGGCGGTACTGCGGGAACCGCTCCAGGTCCGGGTTCAGTGGGTCCAGAGGGATCCATGGGACCTGGGAGGGGGAGTCATGGAGGTGTGTGGTTTGAAATGAGGTGCTGAGACTTAGGCTGCGTCCACACTAGCCCGGATAGATTTGAAAACGTGATTTTCGTCTGAAAACGTTCCGCGCCCACACTTTCAGTTGTTTTCACAGGGTTGTGAAAACACTTACGTTCCAGTCCTGCACAAAACTGAGTGAGAATTAAAGGAACTGAAGAAAAGCTATGCAGCATGTACAAAGTGATTTTAGAAAGTCTGCGTTGTGTCCAACTACAACGGGACAGCTCTGTCGTGTTTTCAAAATGCTGCGTCTCAGTGAGGCCAAGACTGAGAGAAAACGTTGCGTTTTCAAACGAAGACGCATTAGTGTGGACGTAGCCTTACAAGAAAACCTGAACGCACCATCTCTGAGTCGCTCTGATCGATGACCTCGAACTCGCCGTCATCTCTCTGATGGTAAACGGCTGGTTGGAACAAACCTGCGGAGATAGTTACCATGGTTACCACAGGTGGATGGTTATTGCTGTAGAGAAGACTTGGTGGTTGCCATGGTTACCATAGGGGATGAAAGGGCGGTCTGTGGGCGGCATCAAAACAAAGTGTTTCTCTCCAGAGACGACGCAGTAAAGATTCTCGTAGTGATCTTTGTGCACTGAAACACAGAAACACGCATCAGCATCACCACGCCGCAACTCGCGTGTGAGTGAGTGAGAGAGTGAGATCAAGGCGTGGGTCTCACTGGAGGTGATGGCGTTCGCCTCTCCGAGCCAAAAGTTCACAGCGTCCGGCAGCTTTCCTGAAAGGAGAAAACAGTAGGATAACAGTCAGATCAGCTGGTGGTCAAACTGGGGTGGGTCCCCCTCTGGGTCACACAGTTACTGCGGCAGGGACGACAGGAGGAGAAACATGGAGGGCAGTGTGTTATTCAAAAGCGGGGAGGGGGGTCCTTCCCTACCATGATGATTTATTTTCCTCTTTAATCAAAACAGAAGCTGCTGGATCTGCTCCGCTGAGCTTTTTGATTTAATAATTGATTTTAATTTCATTCAATAATTATTGTTATATCATAATAATTCAATTTCTTAGTGAAGGTTACAAATGATCGTCTTATGGCCTCTGACAGTGGACTCATCTCTGTGCTTGTCCTGCTAGACCTCAGTGCAGCGTTCGATACTGTAGACCATAATATCCCATTAGAGCGATTAGAACATGCTGTAGGTATTACAGGTACTGTGCTGCAGTGGTTTGTATCATATCTATCTAATAGACTCCAGTTTGTGCATGTAAATGGAGAGTCCTCTTCACACACTGAGGTTAATTATGGAGTTCGGCTGGACCTGTTTTCTCCGCAAAGGTGGAGATGGAGAGACCAGTTGACAGGAAACGCACTGAAACTGCTTCCTGTGAAGATCACCGTCATCACGCACACATCATTTTCACAGACTGGATTGTGATGCTCTCGACTTCCTGCGATGTTTGTGGATTCTGCAAATCTGTGAGAGACACTCTGATTGGTCAACATCGCAGACAGACTAACAGCTCACCAAGTGCCGTGCTCATCCAGGCAATGTGCGGCTGTACGTCAGCAGTGAGCTCGGGCAGCTCCTGCAGCAGGTTGGAGCACTGCTTCTGGACATAGAAGACTCCGCCCCCTTTGTCCACCTGCACATTCAATCAAGACAACTTTATTAGTAAGGTGGCATTCATGCAGGGCCATTCGGACAGCAGCGTGCAGTCTCACCTTCCCCTCGATGATGTCAAGAACAGAGGAGAAGCTCATCTGTCTCTCTTCAGGCATCACAAATCGATCTCCATTTACCGCGTCGGCGTAGCCATTTGGAGTCACTGCCACGCTTATGACCTTTGACCCCACCTTCTCCCTGCAGAGAAAAAAAACAATCATGTGACATCTACACCTGACAAGGACAGCTGAGCGCCTTCGAGCCTGAAAATGATGATGCACGAGCTCCACAGAATATCTCTCTCTTATCTGGATGAACTAATCCTGACTTCATTTATTAGGAGCTGACCTGTTACCATAGTGACAAGGGTGGGTGGGGCTTGCTTACCTCAGATAGTCAGGGCTCCACTTGGCCAGGGCTGGCCAGTGGCTGAAGGCGTTGCGGATGATGCAGGGCTTGTTTGGAGCGATCCAGTCACGGTGGAACTGCAGCGGCTCAGGTGGCCCGTCCAGGTAGGGCACCGATTGGTTCAGGTACAGATCTGAAAAGTAATCAGTGATCAGCAATGCTGATTGATAAGCAAACACCTGAGATACATGGGTGGGTGGGGCACTGATGTCAGCATTGGTCATTCATATTATAATCACGTGAGCTTATTTCCTGTTTGCTCGGTAAAACTACATGATCACACCTCTAATGACAGTCTGGAGAACTCTAAAGCCCCGCCCACACTCGACGTGGTTGGTCATGATATTCCAGGTTCACAAGCTGACACAGACCAGTAAGGACAGCAAGGGTCACCACAGCGACATTTAAGCTGAAACCATGGAAACGAATGAAAAACACATCTTACCCACTCACTCAGCAAAGTCTGCCCTGCAAAAGGAGGCCCCACCTCAGCCCCTGCCCTCCATTTTTAATCATCCAGACTTCTTTCGCTAACCTCTGCACAGCCTCTCAGCAGTGGAAGGATCTGCATGTTGTCAGGTGTGTTTAAGAGACCAACGGCATCACGTGACAGGAAGCAGACGGCCAGGTTAGTTATTAATCTGCTGATGGGTGGGTCTGGATATACAGTCTGTAGTTTTATGACCCCTCCCCTCACAGCAGGGCAGGTGTGTCACATGTGTAATTCAACCAAACAGGTAAACATCAAACATTCAGCCCGATAACGAGCATGCGCTGTGAGCCGCTCTGAGTCGGATCTACTTTCTGTGGCAAAAGAAATAGTCCCAGAGCCGAAGCTGTCACCTATCTGTGATCAATGCTCGGATCGGTTCTGTGAGCCTCACCGTGAGCCTCCTGTGAACACTCGGCCAGTCGATTCCTCACTGCTTCCATCCTGCAGCTGACTGATTAAACCATCAGTTGATCGATGATCAACTCCTCCCCTCAGCAGCGACAATAACTGTATCGATACGTTTATCATCAATACTGCCGATCGCTTCTTTCCAAGCAGCGTGCTGCCATGCTGATTTGTTTACTTCCGGTGAGCATGCGCAGAGATTGAGGGTTCCTGCGCTGTTTGATGTGAGAGCAGGATTCCCCCTGCTGGCGGGAGGAGGGACTGCAGCAGCACATAAGCAGTTATTGATCCAGAGCGCCGATAAATCCGCTGATCATGATCCAGATAATAATCAGGCATAAAATATTCAGTCCCAGCTGCTGCTCCGTGGCTCAGGCTGAGGCTCGCTGCCTGAGACACTTTATTGTCAGGTGGGAGCAGTAGCGGTTTCTCTTATGGGCCACATGGGCATTTGCCCAGGGCGGCATCACGGGCATCGGCCAAAAAAAGTTGCTCGTACTGATGCTGCCCCGACGTCATGCCAGCGAATTTTGGGAATGGCACCCATCGGTGTTCTTACGGCCTTTTGCTGGGAGTAAGGGTGCCCTCCGGTTGCGAGGAGCGCCCGCTGCAGGGAGGAGAGGGCGAGGCGGCGGGGGGTTCTCTGGGTGGCTGGAGCAGCGCCTAATAACCAACTCGCAAAATAAGTATGTACAATTTTATTTATATAGCACCTTTCAAGATAAAAATCACAAAGTGCTTCACAGAAGCTAAAACATAAAAATCAACCAAAAGCAAGTTTAAAAAGATGAGTTTTTAGCTGTTTTTTAAAAGCGACCACTGAGTCCACAGATCTCAGGCTCAAAGGGAGACAGTTCCACAGTCTGGGGGCCACAGTCACAAAAGTCGCCTTTTGTTTTCAGCCTTGTGTGTTTTCAGCCAGCAAGCCCTAGTCACATGACCTCAGGGACCTGCTGGGAATGTATGGATGTAAAAGTTCACTTATATATGTTGGTGCTTGTCCATGCAGAGCCCTGAAAGTCAAGGTCAAAACCTTAAAGTGGATTCTGAATTTAACGGGGAGCCAGTGCAGCTGGATCAGCAGGGGTGTGACATGGGAGGACTTGGAGGACTTGGTCAGAAGCTTTGCAGCAGCGTTCTGAACGACTTGCAGACGCTCCAAAGAGGCTTTACATAAACAAGTAAACAAAGAATTAGAATAATCCGGACGAGATGAAACAAATGCATGAATGACAACTTCCAATTCGGAGCACGATACAATATGACTCAGCTTAGCAATGTTTCTCAAGTGATAAATACAGGAGCGAACCAGAGATTTTACATGAGCGTCCAAAGTCAGAGCTGAGTCAATGGTAACACCAAGGCTCCTGATAGAAGGTTTAGCAACCAACACCATCATTAAGTTTGCAGATGACACCACGGTGATTGGCCTCATCAGTGACAACGATGAGGCCGCCTACAGGGAGGAGGTGGATCGTCTGGCTGAGTGGTGCGACACAAACAACCTGCTGCTTAACACCGAGAAGACCAAGGAGCTCATCGTGGACTACAGGAGAAATGCTGACCCACATCCACCCATCCACATTAAGGGGACCGCTGTGGAGCGTGTGAGCAGCTTCAAGTTCCTGGGAGTCCACATCTCCGAGGATCTCATCTGGACGACCAACTGCTCCAAGCTGGTCAAGAAGGCTCACCAGCGCCTCTTCTTCTTGAGGACTTTGAGGAAGAACCACCTGTCCTCAGACATCCTGGTGAACTTCTATTGCTGCACCATCGAGAGCATCCTGACCAACTGTATAACAGTCTGGTACGGGAACTGCTCTGCCTCGGACCGGAAGGCGTTGCAGAGGGTCGTGATAACTGCCCAGCGCATCGCCGGAGCACCACTTCCTGCCATAAAAGACATCTACAGGAAGCGGTGTCTGAAAAGGGCTGGGAAAATCATCAAAGACCCCAGTCACCCATCACATGGACTCTTCACCCTCCTGCCCTCTGGGAGGCGCTACAGGAGCCTCCGGACTAAGACCACCAGGTACCGGAACAGCTTCTTCCCCACAGCTGTCAGACTCCTGAACTCTGCCTCCTGACATCTGACCCACGTTAACACATGGACTGAACATACACACACCCACAATGGACAACTGTACCCTCAAACACACAATAATAACATGGACTGAACCACCACTCACAACCACTAGCACTTTATATAGCCTCTGTAGAAATTATCCACACCCTCACTTATCAGAATCAGAATCAGAATGGGTTTATTATCTTAACTGCACTACTGTATAGCTCTGTGTAAATAATCATTCTGTACATTCGATAATCTTTAATCCTACAACTGTTTACAACTTGCATAGTTCCCATTTCTGTATAACTGTATATCCCAGATTCTGTAAAGTTATTTATTTCATATTCTGTATAGTTTTTCATATTTATATCCTGTTCATATCCTGTACATAGCTTGTACTCACTATAGCCTGTACATACTTATAGTTATAGAATATTCACAACATACTTCATACCGTGTACATTATAACATACCATAATAGACCCATTTCTGTAATATACTTACATATCTATATTATTGCTAATATATATTGTAATATATCTATATCACTAAAGCACTTCTGGATGGATGCAAACCAGAGGTGTGGACTCGAGTCACATGACTTGGACTCGAGTCAGACTCGAGTCATTAATTTTATGACTTTAGACTTGACTTGAAAAAATGTTCTAAGACTTGTGACTTGACTTGGACTTTTACACCAATGACTTGGGACTTGAATTGGACTTGAACCGGTTTACTTGAAAAGACTTGATATTTCACCCCAAATATAAAATTTAACATGCATATTATATAGAGATTGAAAATGTGACGTCATTCACGGGTAGAACCAAAAAGGATTCTGGGAACTCGTGGCAAGCGGTACTAGCGCACGCAGGCTTTCAATTAAAATCAGTTATACAGCGATAAAAAGAAACACAAAAATGTCAAGAAGCCGTTTTATTATTAACTGCAATAGCCGGTCGCATGACAGCCACGGGAAGCCGACAGGTAAAGAGATCGGTTGTTATCGGATTACGTCGCTGAAGAGAAATTGTTCAAGCCATGTTTCCGAAGTAACAAAGAGGCGACGGATGGCCTGGATTGCAGCCATTCAAAGATCAAATATAACGTCCCAGAACACTCCAGCTCACAGGTTAGTCTGCTCCAAGCATTTACACAAAGGTCAGTCTGCTGTAGTAGTTAATGCGTCATTTTTCTTAACATAATTAGTGATATAGGTTACAAGCAAGTCTGGCGCTGAACAGAAATTGTCGCGCTATGCTCCTTTGTTTATTGTGCATAAATAGTGAATTGTCCTGACACAATATTGTGTTTCGCCTCTGTTATTATGGTACATTGACAAAAACATATACTTTTATTCACAGGATAAAACAGGTTTTTTGTATCACTAATTGCCCAGTACGATTACAGCATACAATATTATTGTCACTGCTACATTTCTGTGATGGGTACCAGAAATTATTTCCACTACTAATTAATTACCGTTGAGCTCAAAGGTCCTATTAATAAACGGTTAACGAATGTGTATTTATGACGACAATTTGTGAGACTGGTAAACTTATGATACGTACGATGGTCTTTCGTTCTACACGGTGCATTTCAAGGTCCTGCACCCATCCGTCGGTAAACTGTACCTGGGCTTGTTGCAGTGACCTGAAGTTACTAAACTTCATGATCGTATGCGCTCACTCCAAGAACCGTATGATTATAAATATGCATATAAATATGCTACGATGAGATAGCTGACTTCATCTAACTAGCAAATGTTGTCCAGGCTACGTTGGTGATACAGTTTTTTTTAATGTGTATGATATTTTTGTCATGCAATTTTAAAGCTGGTCCTACAAGCGCATCCAAGAATAACATGCAGCTTATCTCAGAACTGTCCGTGAAAATTATTCTTGGAGCTAGGTTTAATTGAGCTGCATTTTAAAGAGGTGCAATTTCACAATTTGTGTATATTTTCTAAGTTCACTATTTTGTCATGTGTTGAGAAAAACACAGATTTTAAAATTACATGGTCTAATGTTTACATTTAGCATAACTGCAACATTATTTTTTCGTTTTTTTTTTTTTAAAGACTCGAAAGGACTTGAAATTCAAAGTTTCAGACTTGTGACTTGACTCGGACTTTTACACCAGTGACTTGAGACTCGACTCTGACTTGCCTGACATTACTTGAGACTTGACTTGAGACTTGAGGATAAAGACTTGAGACTTACTTGAGACTTGCAAAACAATGACTTGGTCCCACCTCTGATGCAAACTGCATTTCGTTGCCCTGTACCCGTGCATGTACAATGACAATAAAGTTGAATTCTATTCTATTCAAATGTAGCAAGTGGACCCAAGTTTTCCATAACTCTAGGTACAAATTTTTAGAAGCACAAACAAGGACTTCAGTCTTCTCCTCATTTAGTTGAAGAAAGTTTCCAGCCATCCAACATCTAATGGAGTCTATGCACTTATGCAAAATCTGTAGCTTGGAAGCATCTTGGGGCTTAAAGGAGATATATAACCAGTGTTGGGTAAGTTACTTTAAATTAGTAACTTAGTTACATTACTAGTTACTTCTATCAAAAGTAACTCTGTTACTTTAAGTTACTTGTTACTTTCAGAGTAACTAGTTACTAGGGAAAGTAACTTTGGTTTTACTCAGAATTCTCTTGTTAATGTGTTGCCTCCGTAACTGGATACCCAGCCAGACTGCCAGTCTTGTAGCTTACATGTTAGCACTATCCTGCCACAGTGCACTGTGCCACCTACCAACAGAAAGGAAAAGATAATGTTCATATTTCCACGAGAGAAATCCCACGCCTGGACCATCGTTGACCGCCGCCATGATTCTAGCCTACGTCACAGCGTCATGTGCGCTTTTTACATCCAACACAAAAACTGCAGTCGTGGTGCTTTTGATTGTACTCAGAACTCAGAAATTCTGCCTTCTGAATAGGAAGATGTAGGCAACACCAGACTGCAGATGAGCTGCATACAGGGCTGGACTGGGACAAAAAATAGTCCCGGGCGTTTTGACTAGAGACCGGCCGCCATTATAGGAAAAATCATAAAGCCTTTGAATGAAATCAAACACTGTTGTGACAGTGATGTACACTGTTCTGATGGTATATATGCATCAATCTATCAATCGGTTCAAGGTGACAAATAAAGAACCTTGAACCTTGTTTGTTGTAAGATTCAGATAATTATTTATTAAGAGCGAGACATTTTAAATGAGAATAAGAAAGTATTTCTTTGTGCCCCCCTTTCCCTGTTAATGCCCTACCTGGCCCCCTGGCAAAACTTTGCTAGACCCGCCCCTGCACAGTTACCAGCTGTCAGCTACAAAGAAAAGGATCCTGGTGTTATTTGTCTCTCAGAAACAGTTCATAACTTCAACTCATTCATGTCACCTAAAAGGTAAACCTGTTTCTCCATCACCTGTTCGGCTCTGATGATCCAGTAAGGACATCTCCTGGTTTCATCTTCATGTTTCCCTCTCACCAGATAACCAAACCGATATCATGACCAGCAGGTTTACAGCTGTGGCTCCAGCAAACATCAGCTGATACTAGAACGTAATATTAAATAAATTCTACCAACAGCTGATCAAACGTGCTGCTGTTGTTTACCGCGACATCCGCTGGTTTCCTCTTTCTGGCGCAAAGTGAGCGATAAACAAACAAGAGAGAAAAGCCGATCAGCTGATCATTGATCAGTTTCATGATTGAAGTAGAAACAGGAGAGGGAGGGGAGAGAACAGGAGGAGAAGAGGCAGCTGTGCAGCAAAGACACAGTATAACTCCAGCTTTGTGTCTTTTTCATTGTAGCTGAAGTCCGGGACAAACTGTTCCTTTTTACCTCAATAAGAAACGCGTAATATTTTCTCTGAATCCCTCGGGTCTCTCCTCTTGCCTCCCTTTTCCCTCATCCACCTGCTGGCCTCCACCACTTGCTAATGCTAATGCTAATGCGATAGCCACCACACGAAGTAACGAATAACGAGCCTATCTAAATCCCAGTAACGAGTAACGTGTTCCTGGTTTTGGCTTAATAACTAGTTACCGTGCTCGTTACCACAATAATAATGTAGTTACTGTAACGTGTTACTTAACACGTTAGTCCCAACACTGTATATAACTGAATATCATCGGCATAGCAGTGATAAGAAATGTCCTTAAAAGTCCTCAATAAGTGCTGAAGAGGAAGTAAATACAGCAAGAACAATAAAGGCCCCAAAACTGAACCTTGTGGCACACCATAGGCAAGAAAAAGTAGAAGAGGAACTGTAGAGGTAGCCACAGAAAAGCATCGTTCATGCAAATAGGATTCAAACCAGGCCAAATATAAAACAAAATAAAAACAAACCAACAAACATGAAAACACCAGACATCATGATGCAGACTTATCATTTGCACCGATGTTTTTCCTCGGTGCGCCTGCTCGCTGCTGAAGTCAAAGTAAACTTTATTGTCATCTCCGCTACAGACAGTCCAGAGAGACGAGACGACGAGGCTCCAGTTACAGCAGTGCAAGTAAACAAACAATAAATATAAGAGGAGTAAGAAAATAAACATACACTTTATGACTCGGGGTAAAGGGATCAATAACAATTTAAAATTTATAATTTACAGTTTGATGATTTAAAGTCTCACACACAATGATGGGTGTTCATACTGGAGTGCAAAATTAAACCAATGTAAGATGGACAAGAAAAGTTCAAAGCCATCAGGAGCTCAGTTTAGAAAAAAAAGAGAAAAGAAGAGGCGGAGAAACGAGCAACAGATGCAGGTAAGCAGATGTGTGACTGGATAATAACAGGTCATCCTGAAACAATCAGAATCAGAATACTTTATTAATCCCTAAGGAAATGATGTGTTACAGTTGCTCCAAGAAGAAATGGTAAAAATAGCAACAGTAACAGAGTAAACTCCAAACAATACATTATGTTACAGATTTTACACATGTAAGCAATAGCACTAATATACAGAGATCACTCAATTATAAATATCAGGGACTAACAGAGGGGATTATAAGTGAATATCAAGAAATTTGAGGGTTTCGGGGGGGGGCTAGGAGTGCCACTGGGTGGGAGCATGTGCACGACCCCCAGCAGAGTAGTGAAACACCACGTGATCTTCTTTAAACCTTTATTCAAAAATGAAGTGAAATATGCATCACTGTCGGGGGTGTCTTCTCTTTTTTTCTGCTTCATCAGAAAAATCAGTGGAGAAGCAGAAAAGTGAGAGGAAACAAAAAGGAAGTTTGTGTGTGAGGCTCCACCCCCCACAGGTGAAAATAAACATGATAATTTGACAGACAGGAGCAGCCTGTGAATGCTGTTATCCTGGGAGCTGAGCCTGTTTGAGTCTGAGCAGCAAACAGGAAGCTGTCAGCAGCTGAGTGCTTGATTGGACGCACCTGTGCTGAGATCCGGTCTGGATCAGGCTGTCGATGGTTACCTGGATCAGGTCAAATGCTGTGGCGTCATGGACGAGTCAGCTTTGGAGCGTTACTTTGAAGACTCCATTGCAAACGTGAGTGTGAGAAAGAGGTGATGTCAGCAGGTTTGGGTGAGTCTGGACTCTCTCTGGTCTTCAGTCCTCCGCCTGAGCCTCTAAAAAAAGTTTGTTCTGCTCATTAAAACAGAAAATGTGCAGTGAAAGCCAGAGTAGCCGATCTTCAGCGCACATCTGTAAAAACGAAAGCCATGAAACATGAAGTAAACCAGCAGTCGAGTGTAGATTTGGTACTGAAGGCCAGCTCTGGGTCCTCTGAGCTTCTGTACTGAATGACTGTTTCCCGTCTGTGCTCGTTCGGCTCACATCTCAGATCTGTGAAAAGTGTTAATGTGTGTTCAAAATCCTGCAGACAGTCCTGAACTGAGAGGAAGAACGTCACCCTTACGTGCAAACCCATTCAAAGTGAACAGGAGCTGCACAACTATCAAAAAACTAGTGCGAGTCATCTGAGAACAAATCAGTAAATGTAATCATTAGGGATGGGTATCGTTTAGGTTTTATCCGATACCGGTGCCAAACCGGTACTTTTGAAACGGTGCCGGTGCTTAAAGAATGGAGAACACACAATTGGTCCAAAAACCTCGTGTTCAGCTGTGTGTTTTTTTTTTTTTTTTGTAAAAAAGATAACAATGTTAGCCTTTTCTGCAGCTATGGGGCATATATGGCATCACTCTTGGCTGAAAGCAGTGCTTAAACAATGGGGAAAAAAACACAAACTTTGTCCAAAAACCTCTCATGTTTAATTGTTTTCCACTTTTTCTTTGGTCATTTTAGCCTTTTGGGCCAGGGTGAAGGGAGCATCTGCTATCAAACAAGTAGACAGCCGCATGTCGCTATGATGATGTTTGCTAGTTCACCTTACATGCATTAATGTAATAACGTGGTTAGCCTACTCAATGTAAATTACACACGAACAACATTAAGCTACTCACGCAGAGAAGAACGGCTGCTGCTGCCATCATCATCCGTCATCATTTCTGCTACACTGGCAGGGCTACGGCTACACCCGCAGTAGATGTGCTTGGTGTGAGGTCTTGCAGCAAGCTATCAAATATGGCGCATTTCTCAGCTTTAAAAAAAAACGCTATGCGTCGCCAGGTGTTTTGTCAGATTCGAGGTGTTACCTCCTTTGACAGTATCACAGTATCAGCTTAAAGCACTTGTTGCAGGCTGCTGAGTTTGCTTATTTTGCTGTGAAGTACAGCCAGACTTTTGACTGCTTCACCTTGGGCATTTTTAATCTGTAGCTCTGCTCTAAAAGAACGTACGTACCTGGACCCGCCTATTATCCTCGGAAACGTAAAATGATTGGCTAGAAGTGTATCACAGCTCAGGAAAAAAAAAAGCACCGAAATAAAGCACCGAAATGTGCTGCTTTTCGGTCTGGTCATGGCACCGGATACCTTTACCCATCCCTAGTAATCATTAATGAAACTGGTGGTAATTAAATAAGAGATGAACCTGGAAAAAATGACAGATGGTACAGGTGGCATTACTCAAACACAAATGTATAATCAAACTCTTATTCAGGCTTCTTTCTCCTGTAGGACTCTGGCTTTATGCTGGGGGAGGGGCTTGGTCTTCAAAGCCCTGCCCTCATTCCACAGGACCCCTCCCAATTGGCACAGGACCCCGCCTACCCATCAGAGAAGTCTGGAGTGAGCGGTGAGGCCGGTGATGAGCTTGACCTCAGTTTCCTTCCCGATGAACTTAGCACACAGGAGGAACCGAGACATGACGTATCAGGTATGACATCAGCAGACAGTGGGTGTGTACGACCTAGCAGCCAGTGACATTAGTGTCTCACCTGTACGCCATGTTATTCCAGGAGAGGAAGGCGGGTCTGCAGCTCTGGACGTGTCTCAGGACAGCGGTGTTGGTGTGGACCACAACTCCCAGGAATCCACAACCACCGAGGGCACACAGGAGGCGTCCACATCAGGAGCGGGGACCAGGGCCTCCCCCTTCTATCCCATGACCCCCATGACCCCTATGACCCCCGTGACACCTGTGACAGAGAGGTCAGGAATCATCCCGCAGTTACAGTAAGTCACTGCTGAACAACACGGAAGCCGTTCTTCATCTGGTGTTCTCATACAGTATTAAAACTCCCCATAATCCCAGCACCTCGGAAGGCTTCCAGGAGACAGCCAATCAGAACTGAGGGTGACCTGCATAGGTGCGCTGTGTTTTTCTTTCCAGTGACGCGGTCAAAAAAGCAGAATTTTAGTGCAGTAAATGATTAACAGGATTGCTTTGAAAACCAGTTGTGCAATAATACAATCTGGATCAGAAAGGTGTGGCTGTGATGTCATTAATCCACACCTGGTCTGATGACAACTGGAAGAGAAAAACAGTCTGAGGTTTGTCACTACCCGATCCGTACCGGAAACCCGATCAGTACCCCGCATGCGCACATCTTACGTCACTTCCTCTCTTTGCCAACATTGCGACATTCAATATATTTGAATGATACGGTTAGCGCCCAGTTAGCTCCTAGCATTTCTCAACAGCTCTGCCTCCTTTTCGACTACCGGGACATTTAAACAATGGATAATCCGTATCCGCAACAAATTTTTGCTTTTCTTCTCAACAGAGAGCGTCCCCCGACTGAACAACAGCGCCGTAAAATAAGAAGAATGGTGCCTAATGACAGAGTTAATAATACAGACTTTATAATATGTCACGCGAAGATTCAGCAGCCAGATGAAGTGTTTACTGGCAATTGACAGTGATAGCGGACATTATCATCACTTTTCCAACAATCCTCTCCACACAGACAAGCTTAAACACATTCGATTATCACTAAATCACATTTAACACACGTTTGTAATGACGCTAATTCAGTTTACAATAGGGTTCATTCGCTCAGTCAGCAGGTGGCGGTATCCTCGTACACTGGGGAGTACACTGCCATTAAACGAACAGAAGAAGAAGAAAACCCCTGCACATGCACGGTACGGATCAGGTATGTCACTACCTGATCCGTACCGGAAACCCGATCGGTACCCCGCATGCGCGAAAGGTGTCTACTTCCGGTCGAAGCATTTTACGATAGTTACAGGTCAGAGTATCTGTTAAGATGTTAAGAATAACAAGTATCTCTTAAAATGTTTCCGATAATGAAACATTTAATATAATGTAGACAAAAACAAAAAAATAAAAAGATAGTGACAGATCGGGACTCCCAATCCTTACTGCGCATGTGCAAAGTCGGACCGTGCAAATCGTGTCTACCCGATCCGTACCGTTTAATGGCAGTGTACTCCCAGTGTACGAGGATACCGCCACCTGCTGACTGAGCGAATGAACCCTTAACACACTGTTTGCTGCTATAACTACACATGTTTCTTTTTCAGCTATTTATTTATGAGTGACTTATGTATGTATATATATGTATATATTGTACTATTCTTAGTTAGTGTATTGTCTGTCTTGTCTTAATGTTGGTTTATAATGGAGCACTGTAACAAAAAATAATTTCCCCCAGGGATCAATAAAGTATTCTGATTCTGTTAATGTCCGCTATCACTGTCAGTTGCCAGTAAACACTTCATCTGGCTGCTGAATCTTCACGTGACATATTATAAAGTCTGTATTATTAACTCTGTCATTAGGCGCCATTCTTCTTATTTTACGGCGCTGTTGTTCAATCGGGGAACGCTCTCTGTTGAGGAAAAAAGCAAAAATTTGTTGCGGATACGGATTATCCATTGTTTAAATGTCCCGGTAGTCGAAAAGGAGGCAGAGCTGTTGAGAAATGCTAGGAGCTAACTGGGCGCTAACCGTATCATTCAAATATATTGAATGTCGCAATGTTGGCAAAGAGAGGAAGTGACGTAAGATTTGCTCATGCGGGGTACCGATCGGGTTTCCGGTACGGATCGGGTAGTGACAAGGTTAAAGCTCATGACTGTAAAGTCCTGAGTACAGCAGGAAGTGAAGAAATAACTGCTGTGACAGAGCACCGAGGCAGCGCCCACAGGTGAAACGCCGCCCCCTGGTGGTGATAATAACAAAAGGTGCCTTTAAACTAATCTTGCTCGCAGGCGTCCGAACTGTCGTGTGAGTGGTGGGTTTCAGACATGGGGCACGGGTTAACCTTCACTTCCTGCTTTGCTTCCTGTGCAGGAACATCGTCTCCACGGTGAATCTGGGCTGTCCGCTGGATCTGAAGTTCATCGCCCTGCAGGCCCGAAACGCAGAGTACAACCCAAAGGTACTGACATCGCTGAAAATTCTGATCTGAATCCCACGCCATTCAGCGGGGTTCATCGCTCTCGTGTCATTTCAGCGCTTCGCTGCGGTCATCATGAGGATCCGCGAGCCACGAACAACAGCTCTGATCTTCAGCTCTGGGAAGATGGTGTGCACAGGAGCCAAGAGGTCAGTCCATCACGCAGATGGTTCAGGTGTGAGCAGCATGCTGTGTTAAAGCGTAATCTCCCTCACGTCTGTGTCTGAGCACGTGCAGTGAGGAGCAGTCGCGCCTGGCGGCCCGGAAGTACGCCCGGGTGGTGCAGAAACTCGGTTTCCCCGCCCGCTTCCTGGAGTTCAAGATCCAGAACATGGTGGCCAGCTGTGACGTGTGCTTCCCTATCAGACTGGAAGGACTGGTTCTGACCCACCAGCAGTTCAGCAGGTAAGAAGCGCACCTGATCCCCGTGGTGTTTAACCTTGATTTAAAGCGCTCCTCAGACCGGCGCTGCATTCCCTCCACAGTTACGAGCCGGAGCTGTTTCCGGGACTTATCTACCGGATGGTGAAGCCTCGAATCGTCCTGCTCATCTTTGTGTCGGGGAAGGTGGTTCTGACGGGTAATCGCCTCCACACGTCCGAGTTCATCAGCACAGACACAAACTGAAGCTTCAGCACTGATCTGTCACCAGATTACAGACAAAACTCTTCTTCGTATGAAATCATTATTAAGTCTGTCGTTCAACACAGATCTGCAAACAGGCCTTTCATTTACAAAATGACTGCAGTCACATGATCTTAAAGGGCACCAGCTCACCTTTACCGGCGAGGGGCGTGGCCACAAAGTAGCGGCTGGGTTTCAAGTCCGACCTGTGCTCTGTGCCCACTGTCTCTATCCAATTAAGAGGCCAAAACGATCCTATTTAAAGAAAATGATATGATCTTTAAAATATCTTTGAAATACAAAGTAAACTGAAAATCTGTCGTGTCTTCAATTTGTTGCTAAGTCCAAAATGTGGATCTGATCTTAAAAAAACGACTTCCTGCAAAAAAAAAAACTGTAGAAACATGACTAAATGATGACGTAACACCGGCTGCTTTCTATCCATGCTGTATTTTATTTTGAAAATGTCTCAGAAATGTGACTCTTATAATCATGAAATGGGACCGAATGACACCGTGCTAATCACCGAGCTGTTGCCTTCCAGGAGCCAAAGAGCGAGCCGAGATCTACGAAGCGTTCGAGAACATTTATCCAATCCTGAAGGGCTTCAGGAAGCAGTGAGAGCGGCACTTCCTGTTCCTGTGTACATATCTGATTCGATATTTGGGCTAAATATGTTTTACTTTGAGTCGCTCTGCAGAGTTATGGGATGGGATATGTTTTAGTCTGTGCTCAAGAGTTCACCATCCTGAGAATCTGTTTTCTAAGAGTCATGTGACTTCAGTGTTTTCATACACACATTTCCACTGAGTGAATAAATGTGGAGACATCAGCTGTTGAAAATAATCAAGGTTTCTGTGTACGTTGTACGGCCCTTAAAACCATCTTTACTGAGCGGTTGAAGCTGGAGCGCAGGAACAGTTTGGAAGAAGGTGTCACTCAAAACCCCAAATTTAATACTGAGCTTTTCACACCTGAGCTTCTGTAATTGTGGGAAACACACCAGATACAAAAAGACAGTCTCATCTGGATTACGTTATTCCAACAAACTGCTCTTCATAACCTTTCAAGATGGCTTTCAAACTTTTATTCTGAAAAACATTACAGCGGTTTTATTCTGAAGGGCAGGCCTTCACCTGACTGATCAGACATTCAGAGACGGCCTTCGTTTTGTGAACTGGGCTCAGGTTCGAGTCTTTGACGATCCTGGACAAACACGCAGCAGCAACAAACCCTCAGTCTCACGCTGACAGTTCATTGGCCCACCTGTAGCTGTGAGGACGGCGTGCACTGCTGTGGTATCGTTTCATTTGTCTGTCATCTGTAAACTAAACCCCACAGACGAATAACTTTGTAGGTCATATGATGTGGCTGAACTAAAACCTGATTGGATCATAACCTGCGCTGTAGACTTGAGGCACGAGTTACCTCGGCCAGGAGCTCATCAGCCCACGCAACCTTTCCCAGCCTGGAGACGATCGGAGATGATGGTTCACTTCTGTCCTTCCACGTTTCACTCGTGATTTTGTTTGCTCGAAGAGCACCAATAATTGGATCCTTCTAATTTCCCACAGTCACAGCACATGTCGCCCCACAGGTTTTTATTTATTTTTTTTGGGGTTTTTTTTTTTAAGACATCTGAGAGTGCTCCTCTCTGAGATCCTCACCTGTTCACTGAAGCTGACTTTTTTTGTGAGTTAATTGTTGTTATGATGAAACTGAGTTTGGGAGCTTTTCGGCTGTTCCCAGTTACGATAAGAAAAGAAACTTTTAGTCCCACACGTGGGAAATTTGTTTTGTCACAGCAAAAAGTGGACAGTGCAAAGTTGTATAGCAAAAATTAAAGAACACTGGAATACAATAAGAATAATATACTATACACAACTGTACAGAATAGAATAAAATATACAATAGGATAAAAATAAATAAATTCAAGTGCTTTAAACAACTGAGTAAAAATGCAACTTTGTCAGAAAAGAGTATTGCACATGTGTGGATGTGTTTGATCAGTTGGAGTCTTTGTTGTAGAGTCACCGTGGGTGCTGCAGCCACTGAAGGAGCTGCTCAGTGCTGTCAGTCTCCTGCATGGGCTGGGAGATGTTGTCCAACAGGAATGAAAGCTTAGCCACCGTTCTCCTGTCACTCACCACCTCCACTGGGTCCAGAGGCCATCCTAGAACAGAGCTGGCCCTTCTGATCAGCCTGTTCAGTCTCTTCCTGTCCCCGGCAGAGATGCTGCCGCCCCAGTAGACCACACCATAAAAGATGGCTGAGGCCACCACAGAGTCATAGAAATTGTTAAACCTATTAATCCCTGCAGTAATGACCTAGTAATGACCCAATGGGAGGCTCGTGTTTAAATCTCCGTGGGGGCTGCAGAGTTCATGAAAACTTCACAGAATAAATGGACTGATTCTTATGCAGCACTCGGTGCTTTGTACAACATCCACACTCCGACGGAGCATCAGAGAGTGACCCGGGGTTCGTATCCTCTATAAGGATATTTGGCATGCAGATGTGGAAGCCAGGAATCGAACCACCAACTCTCCGATCACCTGATGAGTCGCTCACGTTGAGCTCTGTGAGCAGAATTACTTTTAACAACCTCCCATGTTTTTATGGTGACGTATGCCTGACCCCGCCCACCCGTGACGCCATCAGATAAACAAACCCGTCACGCTGTTAGAAAGAGGAAGTGGCGGTCTGTCCTCGGGTTACAGCTGTGCGTTGGCTCTAAACTATGAGACGTTAGCGGCAGGCCGACCTTCGCGGAGCCGCAGACAGCGCAGCTAGCATGGCGTCCTCCGCCGGCCCGGCCCGGCCCGCTCCAGCCTCTGCGGCCCGGCCGTCACCGCGCCCTCCACTGCCGGCCTCGGCCCATTCCGCGCAGGGCTGCTCGGCCCATTCCGCGCAAGGCTGCGTTATGCTGGAGTCCGTGGACGACGCGGAGGGGCTGTACGTAGCCGTGGAGCGCTGCCCTCTGTGCAGCACCTCCCGCCGCAGGCTTACCTGCGCTCGCTGCGTGCAGGCCGGAGACTTTGTGTACTTCGACGGCAGGAACACAGAGAGGTAAACACCGGAGCCGAATTCCACCGACGCACGCTCAAAGTTTCCCGTTCCTACGTTCCTCTGCGGACACGCAGCACCGGGGAGCTGCTCCGTTTCGCCTGGGGTTAACGGGAGCTGTCGGTGCCGTTCGGCGTCGTTGTGAGCACCGACTGCGTCTTAAAAAAACGCTTTTTTACGGCTTTCTTTGTCTGACTGCTCTGTTGGTGGGGACATTAGCCGAAGCCTGGAGCCCAAATAACACTGCTGTGGTGAAACAGGTGTTTCAGCTAAATCGAAGCGCGATTATTGTTAAAATCAGAAACTCTTCTTTATTTTCTCAAACGTCAGAAGTTACGGTGTAATGACCGGAGGTGTGACACGCTAATACTCCACAGTCGCACCGTCTCGTCTTTAAAAAGGTGTAAACTAACCTGAAAACGGCGCTTAGCATTAGCAGCTAACGGTGGTTAGCTAAGTAACTTTCAGGTAGCCTGTTAGCTCGGTTAGCCTTTGTATCAACATTTGTTACTGTTAGCTCAGCTAGATTAGCCTCGGTTAGCCTTCTTAAGCTTTATTTGGCCGGTTAGCTCAGTTTTGTAAGTCTGCTAGGTCTCAGGTTATCGTGTGTTGACCTGCTCTGGTATTGTTAGCCTGGTGGCTAGCTGCTGTGTTACAGTGCAGGGCTCGCAAAAGTTCAAAATCCCTGGTAGCCCTTCGGGCAGGGACTCTTCAGTTTTTGGTAGCCCAAAATAAATTTAAGTAGCCCGAATAAAAAAGAGCAATTTTTTGATTGATGTTTTGTTTCCGTTACAATATTATACATTAAAGTATAATATTGTAACGGAAACAAACCATTAATCAAAAAATTGTTGAAACACAAATTCACACAAACACAACATTGTATAAAAATTACAATCATCAACTCAAATACTTGGTTCTAATTGAACAGAAATTTCTATGAACTTGTAAGAACTGTGTAGGACATGAATCAGTCTGTGTCAGATCCTGAATTTGAAATTTCCACTGAAGTCACGGGTAAGAGACAAGTGGAACCAAGATCTAGGCCATTTGCTTTTTGAAGTTTGCAAAGACTGCTAAATTTTGCCAGTGGTAGTTCACTCTTTGCAACATAGTACGCTGTTCTATTTGCAATTGGTGTTTGTTCCGGGAAAGATATTGCAGACTGAGCAATAATGCATTTCTCATGGGTTCTAATGGGGGCCTTTCTTAAAATGACTGGTCCCAGTAACAAAGGCGCTTGTCGACTCAGAAATCGAGGGAAAACCAACAACACACTCGGCAGAACATTATGTTGTTTACACGGATGCACATAAGCGGTCCACATGTTCGCATTCGCTGTCAAAATAAAAGACGCGCACCAGATAAGAAGTTGCAACGCGCGTTTGCGTCCATATAAAAGGCAGTGTTTTTGTCCGCTAGAGTGGGATTTTCACGGCACATTCTGCACCAAGGCTGAGGGTCGCAGATGCCAACAGACTCGATAAACTGATCTGTAAGGCCAGTAATGTTGTGGGGATGGAGCTGGACTCCCTCAAGGTGTGTCGGAGAGGCGGATGCTGTCCAAGATAAAGACAATGTTGGATAACACCTCCCACCCTCTCCATGACATGCTGGTCAGTCACAGGAGCACGCTCAGTGAGAGACTGAGATTACCCATAATGCACCACTGAACGACACAGGAAATCATTCCTGCCTGTGGCTCCCTGTACAACTCCTCCACCCAACACACTGTTTACTGCTATAGCTACACATGTTTCTTTCTCAGCTATTTATTAATAAGTGACTTTATGTGTGCGTGTATATATGTATATATTGTACTATTCTTAGTTAGCGTATTGTCTGTCTTGTTAATGTTTGTTTATAACGGAGCACTGTAACAAAAAATTTCCCCCAGGGATCAATAAAGTATTCTGATTCTGAATGCGCACCTGCGGACCACTTATGTGCAGCTCTGGTTATTTAGCTCGTCATGTTGCAGCCACAGAAATTATTTTGTCCATGAAACCATAAAGCTGCACTTTCTTTTTGCCTTATAGTCTGATTTGTCATAACTTTTCCGTTTTGTGGTAAGCTTTTCTTTGGCTGTTACTTCTTCACCTTGACCTGTCTTATTTGGCTCAGCAGAACTAAAATATACACTGAACAAAAATATAAACGCAACACCTTTGTTACTGCTCCCATTCCCCATGGGATGGACGTAGAGACCTAAAATTCATTCCAGATACACAATATAACCATCCCTCCCAAACAGTGGTCACAAATCAGTCCAAATGTGTGGTAGTGGGCACATCTGCTATATTGAGATAATCCACCCCACCTCACAGGTGTGCCACATCAGGATGCTGATCTGACATCATGAGTAGTGCACAGGTGTACCTCAGACTGCCCACAACAAAAGGCCACCCTGGAATGTGCAGTTTTGTCTCACAGCAAAATGCCACAGATGCCACAAGCAATGAGGGAGCGTGCAATTGCCATGCTGACAGCAGGAATGTCAACCAGATCTGTCGCCCGTGCATTGAATGTTCATTTCTCAACCATAAGCCGTCTCCACAGGCGTTTCAGAGAATATGGCAGCACATCCAACCGGCCTCACAACCGCAGACCTCGTGTAACCACACCAGCCCAGGACCTCCACATCAAGCAGGTTCACCTCCAAGATCGTCTGAGACCAGCCACCCAGACAGATGCTGGAACAATTGGTTTGCACAACCAAACAATTTCTGCACAAACTGTCAGAAACCGTCTCAGGGACGCTCAACTGCATGCCCGTCGTCCTCATTGGGGTCTTGACCTGACTCCAGCTCGTCGCCGTAACAGACTTGTGTGGGCAAATGCTCACATTCGATGGCGTCTGGCACGTTGGAGAGGTGTGCGCTTCACGGATGAATCATGGTTCACATTGTTCAGGGCAGATGGCAACTGAGAATGTCCCAGTTCTTGCATGGCCAGCATACTCACCGGACATGTCACCCATTGAGCATGTTCGGGATGTGCTTGACCGGCGTATACGACAGCGTGTACCAGTTCCCACGAATATCCAACAACCTCGCACAGCCATTGAAGAGGAGTGGACCAACATTCCACAGGCCACAATTGACAATCTGATAGACTCCATGCGACGATGTGTTGCACTGCATGAGGCAAATGGTGGTCACACCAGATACTGACCGGTTCTGGGTCCCCAGACCCCCAATAGCGCAAAAAACTGCACATTCCAGGGTGGCCTTTTGTTGTGGGCAGTCTGAGGTACACCTGTGCACTACTCATGATGTCAGATCAGCATCCTGATGTGGCACACCTGTGAGGTGGGATGGATTATCTCAATATAGCAGATGTGTCCACTACCACACATTTGGACTGATTTGTGACCACTGTTTGGGAGGGAT